GATATATATTATTATTATATATATATATATATATATATATATATATATATATAATTTTATTACAAAAAATTACATAAAAAATTTATGAATTTTAATTTGAATATGAATTAAATATCTGTATATATTATTGAGTTGTAATGAAATTCAAATAAGCGATTATTTTAAAAAGTGAAGAAAATAAATATTCTAAGATTTATTATGTAATTGTATACTTTATCAATTTACGAGTAAGTAGAAATACAAGTAATGCATTCTGTTTTTTTATTTATTTACATCTTCGTTTATTTCTTCTTGTCAATTTTAAACAAGGATGAAAATTTTATATCCTAAATTATTAAATATAAATATGTTTCTATTATTATTTATTACATACTGGACCACTCTTATATTTTTAATTATCCTCCTCTTTCATTTAATCTCTTCTCCGAAAATTAAAAACATTAATTAACATAATAATCCTTTTATTCCTATCTTATTTTTACGAAATTAATATTTACCGATCAATAAGATATTTATAAATTCATAAAGGAAGATCACCATATTTTTGCATTATTTATGCGAAAATAATCGATACTTCTATTGCTTAACCTTATGACCTAATTAAAATTTACATACATTAAATTAATTTGCATACCACATATATATGTATATAAGCACCATACATTTCAGCGTAAACATGTATGACAAATTTTCAATACATACACATCGTTCACATTTATAAATACCTCTCATCGACGATTGTTGGGCAGTCAATTTCATATATCAATCAGGTTATTATGTACGCATCGACTTAAAAATTAAATCGATAAATAATTGGTCATAAAAGAAATTAATCAAATAATTAATATAATTTTTTTTATATAATTTTCTCATTCAAACATAAATGGTGCATCTTAGATAATCGACGAGACGAAACAAATAAACAAATATCGAAAATGGAACTCGTAGAATTGTACAATTATTATTGGAACGAGAGAGCTGGTGAGTATCTTAAATTCCTCTTTCGACAAAAGTTTCAACAATAATAATTTCACTTGCTTTTTGCTTTCTTTCTTTTTAGATTCAAGAACGAACAATTTACCATTAATGGGATCACCCATCATTATTCCTACCATTATATTTTCATACTTGTACTTCGTCCTAAAATGTGGTCCACAATTTATGAAAAACCGAAAGCCGTATAACTTGAAAACATTTATCCAATGGTACAACATCTTTCAAATCATCGCCAACGCGTATCTAGTGCAACAAAACATAAGTGCAGGCTGGTTCTCCGAGATAAGCATATTCTGCGAAATGCCAGATTATTCGTATAAACCTGGCCCACTGAAGGTAAGGTATATTTTTCACCGTCCGTCATTATTACCGTCAAATACACGATGCAATTATATTCATATATATATATAAATTCTCTCATTGCCCAGATAGCTCATACGATGTGGTTAACGACAATATTGAAATTGATCGATCTCGTGGAAACAATGATATTCGTGTTGAGAAAGAAGCAGGAACAAATATCATTTTTACACGTGTACCATCACGTGTCCATGGTCCTTTTAATGTGGTACATGACGAAATATTACGCTGTCATCATGACCTCGTTCGGTATTTTGATAAATTGTACCGTACACGTGATCATGTACACGTATTATTATCTGAGCACGCTTGGGCCGAATATGCAAAAAAAATTGTCTTTGTATAAACCAATAATAACCACGGTGCAAATGGTGAGTGTGTAAACATGTTTAATAATTGAAATCTGATTATAAGCATTTTTCTTTTATTGCATTAGGTCCAATTCGTTATTTGTATACTGTATGCATTACAAGCATATTCTCCGTCTTGCCCTGTATCGAAAGTGCCAGTAAACACCGCAATCTTTCAGTTAATCGTAAATTTCTTACTTTTCTACAATTTTTATAGACAGAATTACACAAAATCGGTTCAAAAGAAATGTTGAATCGAATAACGATACACGCGTTCAACGAACATTTTCAACAATTAGACGGGAATGACGATGAAAATATTCCACATTCGTGAATTATTGATAAAGATTTAGATATTGTATTGTAATTTATTTATCGATAATGTACGTGTAAGATATTAAATGTCTGTAAAAGATATATGATTATAATAATAAAAAGTAAGAGAAATTTTAAAGTATTTTAAAGTTCAATGAATTGTAAATATCGTAAGATACGTTATCAAAATAAATTATTTTATGCGCAAGTGTTGATTATTCAAAGATATAAAAAAACTAACGGCGGAAAGAAATTATATAAGCAGCAATATTAATACGAATTGAAAATTTATGTATCAGCCTTGATTTAATAGAAAGAAATTCGATAAATTTATGTATCAAAGATCTTTAAACGATTAAAATATACGAAATGTAAATTATAAATGCAAAGATCTCTTTGTTTCTTTTTTTGATTATGATAATCATAATTTATTCTTACATTATTATACATTTTTTACATTTGTTATATTGTTTTTCTTATTATTGAAACTATATCGTATTTATTCTTACTGTACATATATTATTGATAAAACTGTGAAAAATCCTTCCTTCGTACTAATGTTCTATTATTATTTGAAAAAGAATAAATTTCTTTTTATCACGTAACAGTAAATGTAAACCGAACCGAATTTTTCTTTTCAAATATTTTTCTCAAAAATTATTTAAATATTAAGCTCGCTTTTAGTCATTCTGTATATAATATTTAATATTTACTTACCTAAAAGTAATCTTAAAAGTTTCCATAAAGAGAAAAGCAAAAGGTGCTAGATTAGAATTGTAGAGTAGTCGCTTACCTGAAACATAAAAATATATAATATATTATAAATGTGCATATTATAAAAAATATCTTAATTTTGAATTAATAAAATTTTGTTTTTTGAGAAAATCATTACTCCGTGAAATGATCCCATCCCACTTTATTTTCAATCGTAGTTTCCAATAAAAAGAAGAAATATAATAATTATATTCAACAAGATCGTGTTTCAATGTGTAACCAGAAGAGATTAAATTCCTCTATATATCTTTGGAAGATTGAGTTTCAAAGTATATCTCTTGAAGATAAAGTTTCGGTATAACTCAGAAGAAATTGTGTTCATCGTTATAATAGTGATTAAAAGTTTACTATGTAAATAAAAAGATAATGTAAAAGTATAAAAAGCAAAACGAAAAATATATATATACGAAAGATAAAGATAAAGATACGCTACAAGTTAATTTTTTCTTTCTTTATTCGATGTGTTCAACCGAAAGAAAAAATTTTTTAATCCGTGGTTTTATTTTTTTTTTTAAATATGGAGGAATCGTTTTTTGCAAAAATGCCAGAAATTTAATGAAAAACGGGGAATTATTCGTTAATTTCGTTCGGTCGGGGACAGGGAAAACTCCGAATTCTAATTAGAGCAGAGAGGATCGGAAGTTTCTGTCCCGCTTTTCAATAGCGATTGACATGTCACCACGAGAATGTTAAGCTTCGACCAGGGGGGATTATGGGATTGCGAATTAGTTGCCGAACTTAAGAGCTCGTGCTATGGTCTTGTATGGGTGAACTTGTGCACGACACAGACTTACACACGCCGCAGAAAGGAAAATAAAACTAAATTTCTATCAACCAGATATTCACCTAATCTCCTCATCTGGTATCTCGTTTGACAGAGGGCCCAATCAATGATAAGTATTTTCTCTCGGTCAGCAAATAATCGTTATACTCCGTTTCCAAATTCCGGTCAGAGTCTCAATGTCGTTCGTTCTTTCACAATCGATCTTGATCGATAATTACCAAAAGGGAAACGTCTCCAGTATTTCGCTTCATTCGTGCCATTAGACCCAAAGAATCCTAATTCCACTTCCCTCTTTCGTGGAAAAGTAGCTCGCTAGAAAACTGCACGATCTCCATTAAACGGAATAGATAAAAGTCGAGAACCAATCTTTACCTTCTGCTCGAAAACGCATGGAGAAGATAATCGAGATAATCGATTATTTATTAAAAGCTACTCATAATTTCCTATTCCCAATATTCGTTTCGCGGCCGAATTTATATCACTGAAATTCAAAGCATTTTTTTAAGACGAAACGATGTTTAAAAGAATAATCTCGAGATAAAAAAAAAAAATCGAAATATCGAAAACTCTCTTTCTGTTTCCAAAATCCATCCCCGCGACTTTGTATCTTGGAAACTTTTTTCGACGGCAGTGAAACAATCAAGAACGGTCAAATCGGAGGGGGGGCATAACTTTTTCAATAACACACGTTGAATGCATGAAAATGCATTCGGATTGAATCGGAACCCCCTCTCCCTGCATTTCCGTGACACGGTCGAGGATGCACACACGGTTTATCCGTTCGAATAGTTTACGCGACGCTAGAAATTGGAACAGAAACAGAGTAATCTCGGTTGCGCTCGTCGCGGAGAATGCAAATATCAATTTTGCAACGGGCCTGTGGAAAATGCAATGGAGAATGGTAAAAGACAGGATGGGGGAGGGGGAAGGCGTGGTGGTCGAGGGAGATGCAGAACCAGTACAATTGAGACATCGACATAAGCGTTTTAAACAAGTATGCCCGCATCGCTTTTGTTCCCCCGCGAGCTGTTATATCGTCACTTTACACTACCTCCGCCGCTCCCATTGTTCTTCCTATGAAACGCCGGTTGACATACTTGCCTGCGCCGACGGTTCCCTCTTTAACAATGTAAAATAGCAAACTAATGTGTATCTACGTTGTCGCCGTTCAAGGCAACTCACTGCCGCTGTGTCCTTCAATTCGTTTTTGTTAATCGCCATTCGCTCGCCTCCCCTTTTCCTTTTCCAATATATTCCAATGTGAACGAACGTTGCTGGATCGAGATAATTGCGTTTTTATTCATTCGAATAAAGTTGGAAGTTTTCCGTTTTCGCGATATCTTCAACTTTCGAGATCGAGAGAAGGAAAATTTGGCAATGAATTAAGTTGCCTCCTGTTCACTGTTTTGATGATGAAATTTCCCATCCTTCAAAATTCTTAATCTTCAAAATATTGGAATAAAATCCAACGATCGAGAGATATAATTTCACGTAATTTCAATCTTCGATATTTATACGCAACTCGAGATATAATAAATCTCGATCCTAGAGAAATGAAGCAAAGAGAAAAAGATTTTTACGATCACATTTTTCCAAGAATTATTCGTCACCGCGACGTGCAAATGATTCGAGTTGAATGGCAATGGTATCGATAGAAACATGAAACGGAACAATGAGCAAGGTAACTGGATGGTTGGAGGAGGCTGGGAGGGGATGCACAATCGCTTAAGAAACAAAGAACGAGAAAGTTTCCGCCGGTGTCCGATACAAGGGTATATTTTTCTTTGGGAGGAAGTGGCACGCGATAAGACGTGGAATTACCTGAATGTAGCAAGGACAGGAGGCATTGTTACGAGACGTCAACGAGATAACTCGATTACTCCCGTTCCGCGAGTTGTCTTGATGAAATATATCAGTTCGCGTATTTTATGGTAATAACAACAGGGAGAGAGATCGCCGATGATTCCATCCCCTCTCGTTTAAAAAACTTTCGTAAACGTTGATTTAGAAGGAAAAGAGAGGCTATCGAGTCGTGGAAAAGGAGAAAGAAAGAAAGAAAGAAAGAAAGGGAATTAAAAAGTTGGGAAGCAAGTTTAAATGTAAAAGTTACAAACTGATGTTTTATCCTTAACGAGAATATAGTTTGGCTAGTGTGTCTTGTAAAATAATTTACGTGAGAATAGCGATATCGAAAACTTTTGTCTTCCTTTTTCTCTCTCGTTATTAAAATCTCTGGTCACGGTTCATTCGTCTTCCACGATTTTCGAAACGAAATCATTACTATTATCACTTAGATGATTAAACTTAATTATATTGAGATAAAATAATATATAAAAATTTTTAAAATGCGTAAAACACGTATGCTTATATGCATGCCTCGATGACAGTCAAAGGGTTTAATAAACTTCTCTTTCTAAGAAATAAAAAATGGAATTGAGATTAAATATAAAATAAGATATAACGTAAGATGGAATTCAAAATTTTCGTCAAAAGTTTGATATTTAACTGGAAATTTCTGGGAAAATTAAACAAGATCTAAATAGCTTCTGATGCCTAATTGCTGTTCGGCATGTCCGGCAGTTAAGCTAAAACTTGTGCGCGTTCCAACGGAGTTTGATATGTTCTAAGAGTACTCTCACGATATAATTTGCATTTTCGTCCGTTCAAATTAGCTAAAAAAGTCGAAAGTTCGGTTGAATTCTCCTAGTTAATGAAGTTTACTACAGCATCGAAGAGTTTTTTCTCTTTGTTTTTTCTTTTTTTTTCTTCGAAAAGCTTTTGAAAGCTTTATATCGCGGCTGATTGATCAAAACGATTCAAATTCATGCGATGAATTTCGTTAGATGGAATTTTCGTTATCGAGAATATTCGTATCGAGGGAACAAAAGAATCAATTAACGCCAATTCGAAAGGAAAAATCGGTGTCTCGATTATTTTGAATCTTCAAGTACCAGATTATATATATATATAATAGTTTTTCATCGCGAAAATTTTACCACGCGAAAAAAACACGATCCTAATCGTTTTATCACGATCCTAAATATTCTCTAATATAAAATTAAAAGAAACATATAATATAAATAAACTTGGTTATTAGAGTTCGCTAAAGTTTTTCTATTTTATCAAAAAAAGGAAAGATAAAAGATTCTGGCGGAAAGTTTTTGAGAATTTAGAGTTGGAAACAAAAGTATCGAAAGATAAAATAGAAGAAAAAAAATGGAAAGAGATACACGCGTCTACCGTACCGTCTATCTATAATTCTGTCTACAAAGAAACAGTAAAAGGTTCGAATTTACGATTTTCTTCGCCCGACTAGTGAATTCTTCATCAGCCTAAGGATACCGAGATATATATTATTGAAAATCGAACATCGAGGAGAAAAGAAAAGGAAAGGAAAAGGGGGGAAAAAAATTCTCGATCTAAACGTAAATCGTATCTGGATATCGAATGTCCATTCGTGTATTTTCTCTCTATTTCCTCTCTTCATTTATCTAGTGAAAAATCTTCCAATCGGCAAAGAGTGTTTTTTTTTTTTTTCAAATATTCGCCGAATCGGTGAATATTTCACGTTTTGCGTCGCTAATCAAAGCTATTAAAATTAATGAATTTGCGCGAAAGGAAACGAAGAATCTGCAAGTTTAAGCATCTAAG